GAAATGGATCACTTTCTAGAAATGTACAATTTTCCAAGAATGAATCAGAAGATACAAAGTCTGAATAGACTTATTCCTAGTAAGACTAAATCAGCAATCAAAAGCCTCCAAACAAACAACAGTCCTAGGCCAAAGACCTTCACAGGTGATTTCTACCAAACATTCAAAGAAGATTTAATACCCATCCTTCTTAAACTCTTCCAAAAAATTGAAGAGGAGGGAAAGCTTCCAAACTTATTTTATGAGGCCAGCATTACCCTAATACCAAATGGAGACAAGGATGGCACACAAAAATATTATATGAGAATATCCTTAATAAACATACATGCAAAAATCCTCAAAAAACATTAGCAAACCACATTCAACAATATGTTTAAAAGGTCCATACACCATGATCAAGCAGGATTTATTCCTGGGAGGGCAAAAATGGTTCAACATCTCCAAATCAATCAACATGATACACCACCTTAACGAAATGAAGGAAAAAATCATAAGATCATCTCAATAGATGCAGAAAAAGCATCTGACAAAATTCAACATCTATTTATGATAAAACTCTCAACAAAGTGGGTACAGAGGAAACTTACCTCAACAAAACCCACAGTTCATACTTAATGGTGAAAAGCTGAAAGCTTTTTAAGATCAGGAACAAAACAAGGATGCCCACTCTTGCCATTTTTTTCCAACATAGTATTGGAAGTCCTAGCCACAGCATCCAAATTGGAAAAGAAAAAGTATAATTCTCACTATTTGCAGACAACATGATACTACACAGAACCACACCGGCTAGGGGTAACATGATACTATAGAGAGAGAACCCAAAAGAATCCACACAAAAACTATCAGAACTAGTAAATGAATTCAGTAAAGTTGCAGGATACAAAATCAATAAACAGAAATCTGTGGCATTTCTATACACAATAACAAACCATCAGAAAGAGAAATTAAGAAAACAATCTCATTTACAATTAACTGCATCAGAAAGAATAAAATACCTAAGAATAAATTAAACCAAGGAGGTGAAAAAGCTATATACACTGAATGCTATAAGACACTGATGAAATAGAATGAGACACAAATAAATGAAAAGATATTCCTTGCTCATGGATTGGAATATTGTTAAAATGTCCATACTACCCATAGCAATCTACAGATTCAACCCAACCCCTATCAAAATTCCAATTGCATTTTCCACAGAACTAGAACAAATAATCCTAAAATTTGTTGAAATCACAAAAGATAGCAAATAGCCAAAGCAATCTTGAGAAAGAAGAGCAACGCTGGAAGTATTACGCTATCTGACTTCAAACTATACTACAAGGCTATAGTAATCAAAACACTATGGTACTGTCATAAAAATAGACATATAGATCAATGGAACAGAAACAAATCCATACCTGTATGGTCAATTAATCTATGGCAAAAGAGGCAAGAATATACAATGGGGTAAAGACAATCTCTCTTCAATAAATGCTGTTGGGAAAACTGGACAAATACATGCAAAAGAATGAAATTTGATCACTTTCTTACACCATGCACAAGGATAAACTCAGAGTGGATTAAAAACTTAAATTTAAGACCTAAAATCATAAAACTCCTAAAAGAAAACATAGGCAGTAAATTCTTTGACATCACTCTTAGCAATATTTTTTTGATGTCTTTTCAAGGAAGGGAAACAAAAATAAATAAATAAATAGGATTACACCAAACTAAAAAGTTCTTGCACAGTGAAGGAAACCATCAACAAAACGATAAGACTCCCTACTGAATGGGAAAAGACATTCTCCAATAATACATCAGATAAGAGGTTAATATCTCAAATATATAAGAAACTCATACATCAAAAAAACACCCAATCCCATTAAAAAATGGGCAGAAGATCTGAATAGACATTTCTCCAAAAAGGACATTCAGATGGCCAATAGACACATGAAAGGATGCTCAACATCACTAATCGTCAGGGAAATGCAAATTAAAACCACAATGAGATTATCACCTCACACCTATCAGAATGGCTATCATAAATAAATCAACAAATAAGTGTGAGCAAGGATGTGGAAAAAAGGAAACCCTCGTGCACTGTTGGTGGGATTGTAAAATGTTGCAGCCACATGGAAAACAGTAATGAGGTTCCTCAAAATATTAAAAATAAAATTACCATATAACCCAACAATTCCACTTGTGGGTATTTATGCAAAGAAATCCAAAACACTAAGTCAAAAAGATATATGCACCCCTATAATTCACTGCAGCATTATTTACAATAGCCAAGATATGGAAGCAACCTAAGTGTCCATCAATAGAAGAAGGGATAAAAAAGATACAGAGAACAAATTGATGGTTGCCTCATGGGATGGGTGAAAAAGAAGAAGGTATTAAGAAGTACAAATTACCAGTTATAAAATACAGGGATGTAAAGCACAGCAAAAGGAATACAGTCACTATTTTAATAACTATGTGTAGTGTCAGATGGGTACTAGAATTATTAGGACAATGGATCTTCATTAGCTATATAAATGACTGATCACTATGCTGCACACCTGAAACTAATATTGTATGTCAACTGTAATTGAAAAATTTAAAGATTAATGTATACTAAGAGGATAAAACATTTGAAATAAAATTAACACTATGAAATGTACTACTGCTTTGTTATATTTATTTTGGTGTTTATAGGTTTATTTTCTGAAGAACATGATGCCATTGGCGATCCAAAGCCAAAGAAAATGTGGAAGGACATCAATCATTAAAATCCATTTTAAGGTTGGAATTATCTAATCTGTTCATCTTCAGTCATTAAAGTGATTTGGTATCTGCCAGATATGTTTCCTTTGGTGCTCAATAAACCAAACACAATCTTGATAATATGATTAATTAGTGCAGGAGTGCTTTGTCTTTGCATATACTTCAAGGCACTTTTTATGTATTTAATTAGCAGATAACTGAGGAAAAACTAGGATTTGTACAGCCATGGGCATAACATTTTAGCACTGGCACCTTGAAGCACAATTATGTTCTTTTACAAAATGTCCCATGGAACTGCTATCAGATGTAATTTGTTGGATGAACCTCATCCACGCAAGTATATATTTGTATTCACGAACTCACATAATGGGCAAAGAGTTTCTAGAGACCTGGAGCAAAGCCATGCAGGACTAGCCATGAAGAGTAACATAAATGTGTACTTGAACTAATGATGTATGTTTCCTCTACAGTCACTTAGAACCTCACTCCTCTGCTTAATTTACATGCTTATAATTAGAAAATCCATGAGTGGACAAATATACTGTGACACACATCCAGACAATGCAATATTATTAGTGCTAAAGAGAAATGAGCTATGAAAAGGCAGGGAAGAACCTTAAACACATGTTACTAAATGAAAGAAACCCTTACAAAAGGCTAGATCCTCTTTAATTAGAACTATATCACATTCTGGTAAAGGCAAAACTATGGAGACAGTAAAAAGATCAGTGGTTAAGAAAGGTCAGGGGGAGGGAAGGATGAATTAGCAGATCACAGAGGACTCTTAGGGCAGTGAAATTATTCTGTATAATACCACAGTGAAGGATGCATGTCATCATATATTTGTCCAAACCCACAGAATGTACAACACCAAGAGTAAACCCTAATTCAAAGTATGGACTTTGGGTGATGATAATGTGTCAATGTAGGTTCACTGATTGTAATAAATGTACCATTCTGGTGGTAGATGTTCAGAGTTGAGAAGGTTGTACATGTATGGGAACAGGGGATATACAGAAACTCACTGTACTTTTCTCTTAATATTGCTGTAAACCTAAAACTGCTTTTACAAAAAGAATTTAGAAAAAAATTAAGAGTGGAGGGGGTTAATGGGGGGAAAATAGGAGACATCTGTAATATTTTCAACAATAAAGATAAATTTTTAAAAAAAGAGAAAAAAAGTTTAAGGCAAATGAAAGACATTTTCAGATAAACCCAAACTAGGAGAGTTCATCAGCAGCAGATGTGCACTATAAGAATCCTAAGAGAAGTTCTCCAAGCTGAAGGGAAATGATACCAAAGGGAAAACTCACAGCCAGGGATAAACCAGAAACGGAGATAAATATAAAAGCCTATCTTTTTACCCTCTTAATTTCTTTAAAATACACTTTGCTTTTTAAAGCAAAAATTGTAACAACGTGTTGTGGAATCCATAGCATTTGTAAACGTAATAATAGCTAATACAACCACAGCATAAAGTTTGAGGAAGGTAAGTGAAATTGGAAGGTTGAGAGGTTGTTGCATTTTTATCTGAAGTGGTACAATATTAACTAAGTAGATTGAAAAGTTCAGCATGTATATGTGAGCCCTAAATAAATCACCAAAAAATAATGCAAGAAACTGTGGGGGCAGTGCAAAGGCTCCATATCTTCACAGGCATGTGGGTTCCATGAATATATGCATTTGTCCAAACTACTGGAACTGTGCACTTAAGATCTACAAATGGCACTGTAATTTTTACCTAAATTTTTTAAAAAGTGTTTTCTTAAAAAAAACAGCACCTGGTTCAGCATAGTTATTAAATAAAATAAGTAGTTACTACTCTTACTATTCTGCTAACAACAGAATATCACTTTAAGAAATACTGTTCTTTGAACATGCTTCTTTCCTTCCTACCTTAGGGCCTTATTTATCACAAGCTAGTCCTTCTGCCTGGAACATCCTCACCTCCCACTCTTCCCCTGGATGAGGCCTATCCAACCCCTCATTCTTCGCCTCCATGGCATTTCCTCTGGAAGCCTTGCCAGACATTCTCTCGCCAAAGGCCAAATTAAGATATCCTGTCATTTGTCCCTACAGCATCCCAAACTTACTGCTGTAATTAAGTTGCGCTTATTTGCCTCTGAGACTGTGAGATCCATAAGGGCACTGGCTTGGTCTGACTCACTGCTGAATTCTCTATACCCAGCACAGTGCCTGGGTCCCAAGTGCTGGAGGCAAAAAGCAGAGACCAAAAGCTTCAAGACCTGACGTACCGTTTTGCTCTTTCCAGATCATCATTTGCTTGCTCCAGCTCTCGGATATATTTCTGCAGTTGATCTTTAATTGCCTTTGTCTGGGCTAGGTCATCCTCTAAGGCGGAGATCTGCCGGTAGCCTTCAGAATGCTGTGTTTCAAACTTCTCCTGAATGACAAAATTGACACTGAATGAACAATTTAGGACTTTTGATAAACTCTTTTTATCTCCCCCTTCCCTGTCCCCTCAAAATACTGAAGGTTAATCCTGGAACGTATGTACTCCTGTTGTAGTGGACACATTTTTTAGCCACTGAGCATCCATTCCCCCCTCTCCACAGCCTGCCAGCACCCTGATTTCTTTAGGGGGTTTATCTCTGTCATTACAGGGTCTTCATGGGATCACCCTCCCATCACACTCACTGAAGAAGCTTTAGCCTTCCTCTCCCACCCTCCCGCCACAAGGGAAAAGCCTCATTGCAGTCCATAGGACTGTTTCTCCACAGGTGTGGACTCTTAAAACAAGTGACAGAAGAGGGCAGGAACAGCGGACTTCCTGTCTCCCCGGCTCCCTGAGCATTTGGTAGCTTGCCTCCTCCCAAACCTGGTCCTTGCAGCTGCTGGGTGTCAAGAAGCACCCAAATATCTTCAAAGCAATCATTTTGCTCAAGGTGTCCACAGCCATAGAAAGCCACATAAACCTCTCCAAGCCTCACCCGAGAGTAATATGAATCCACGTCACATGACATCACTGGATCACAAAGAGAACATCAGGGATCATAATGACTTTGGTTGCATGTGCCACAAAATAAGAGCAGGACATTGTGTACTTAGTATGACCACTGTTCTGACTTTGTGATCCAGGACACTTCCCCTGCAGCATGGGGGAGTCAGAAGGAACTTCTGGACCTCTGGGAGAGGGAAGAAAGGAAGGGA